AGTCATGATAGAGGACCTTACGCAGTTACTTTAGAGAGAGAGAGAGAGAGAGAGAGAGAGAGAGAGAGAGAGAGAGAGAGAGACGCTTGGTGAGAATGATGGAAACTAGTAAGTCAATATAGGGAGAAGAAGCCAAATAAGGYGAGAAAGAAGTTAGTGAAAAATAAAAGAGAAAGAAGTTAGTGAAAAATAAAAGAGAAAGAAGTTAGTGAAAAATAAAGGAGCTTAGTCAGCCACTTAGGGGTCCGTCTCACCCTCCTTGAAAATGCTTATGCGTTTTCGTTTTTTTTCTTGGTAAAAAAATAGATCGTCGTACGACGAAGCTCGGCTACAGTAGAAACTCCGTTGTGTTCCCTTACTTGACGCTTGCCTTACGGGAGCAATGACGAAACTTGGCTGTGGCAGTGTGAAGGAAGATCAGAATCGTTTTCGCTTTGTATATACTACTATCATGGATATCGTGAATCGTCACCTTGGTTGCCTGTCCCGACTCGCCCTGGCTGCTGCCGTGACCACTGCTGTGGCGTTGCTTTCGGTCCTTCTCATCACCGGCGGACGACTGGTCGGCAGCGGCTCGTTTTTCTCACTCTCTCTCTCGCGCAATTCCCCGGTCCTTCGGAAGTAGGACGGAGATGTCGCCATCTGCTTCGAGGGGGTCTGAGGGTACTTGACCTACCCAGCCCTTGTGTTGATTTGACCATTCTCAGCGAGTCTCCTTTCCTTGCCCCCTGCAATGCCATTATCAGCTATGAGATGAAAGCCCCGTTCGTCAAAGGATCCGACGAGACGGGTATGAAGTGCAAGGCAGTGGTGCGCAACATCTTGTTCGATCAAACAGCCTCTAAGCTCTTCTTCATCTTGGACCAGATCTGCTCGAAGCCAATCAGACGCCTTTTGTCGTTTTACGCATCTATCTTGGGCGCGCAAGTTGTGGAGGAGGGTAGGTTGATAAGCACCTGGTGGGCAGGGTCGGACGGGACCGGACCGCAGGTTCTGAGCGCCACGTGCCAAGACCATAACTGCACTTTGTACATGGATCTCGCCAGTGGGATGGCTCTCTCGAAGTCCGGATCTCAGCTGATCGTGTCGGGATACCATTCTGCAACTCCGCCGGGATCTTGGCTTACCACCGTCAATACCGAGACCGGGGAGAGGAGTTCTGTCCCGGTGCAGCTGGACTTCGCCACCGGGATCGCTCTCGACCCCGACATGACCACTCTGTTCGTCGCGACCGGGTTGGTCCCTCCTCCTCGGATCTTGTCGTCTCCAATTACCCTCGATAAGAACGGCGATCTTCCCACCCAGGGACTCTCCACGCCCTCCCCCCTCTTCATGTTCGATCAGTTCCAGGAGTGGGAGACGTCATCCATTTACTTTGGACCTCACAGTTTGCCGAGCGATGGCAGGTGCTTGTACTTCGTCGATCGCAAGCCCGGCGGTAGCGTCTGGGCACTCAATCGCTCCTCGAATGAGGTCAACCTTGTCGCGGGTAGCGGATTAACCTCCCAGGTCTTGCCGCTAATAGCAGCTCCTAGTAACCTTAACAGTGGAAACGGTAGCAGTAGTAATAGCAAGATAGTGATGTCCGATGCTTTGAACGTGTCTTTCGGACAGCTATACGACCTTGCGGTTACGGAGGATGGTCTAAACATCTTCGTCTCGGATATCGACACAGGTCTTGTGCGGTGGATTGAGCTCGACACTCCCTGTGGAGTCGGGCGGAGAGCCAGCGATGTCATTCGCTACCTTCCCCGTCCCGGCTCTGCCGTGTTCGGACTGGCCATATGAACGTACGGCAGAGAGCTCGTCTTGCTCCTTGGTACGGACGACGGACACGTGTTCCAGCTCAGCATCAACAGGTCAGCGCTGGATCCCAGCAATAACCCTTACGCTTTCGCACTCCCAGGCAGCTCTTCGGCACCCGATCCCGACAGATCTTATGCCTACCCCTCCCTCTCTTCTCCCCTCGCCAGGCCTGGCTTTTCGGACAAGGATGAAGGCCCGAGAATCGGTCTCGTTGTCAGTCTAGTTGTCGGTCTCTCCCTCCTTTCTTTGCTCTTGTTTGTCGGGATCGGGGCGACAGTCTGTCGAGGCCGGCTTCGTCTTCAGAAATGCTGCCATAATGGAGACTCATCAGTAGCGTGTTACGCAATCCACGGGGTCCGAGAGTTCGATTGGAAGACCTTAAGGGCAGCGACAAGCAACTTTGACACTTCTCGACGGATTGGAATGGGCGGTGGCGGCATCGTCTACCGGGGATTACTGGTGGACAGGGATCCACCGAGTCTGAGGCAGATCGCTGTGAAGGTCATGGACGGCTCGCAGACAAAGGACAAGGAAGAGCAATTCCTAGCAGAGGTGCAAATGCTCAGCCGGGTACATCATGTCCATGTGTGTGGCTTGATTGGCRTCTGCCGACATGGTAGTATGTGGTTCTTGGTTTATCCTTACTTGGAGGGTGGGAGTTTGCACGACCGGCTGCATCAACGGGTCGAAGATCGAACAAGAGAAGCACCAGGAGGGGGAGGCACAAGAGAAGTATCGGAAGGAGGAGGAGCCGTGGCAGCGCCAGACGAAGAGCTAGGAGGGTCCGAAAGTGCGAAAGCAGGAGGGGAAGCGGGAAGAGGGCCTGGAGCAGAGGGAGGAGGGGTCACACAAGAAGGAGAGAAACGAAGTGAAAGAGAATCATTCCACGCAGACGAGGAAGACTTACCAACCGACGGAGAAGAAGCAGCCAGGGGAGGAGGCGAAGCGGGGGGTGGAGATTCTGGAGAAGAGTCAGATATCCCAGCGAAAGTCGAAGCAGTAGCAAGGCGACACCTGTCGGCTTTCTCGTGCCTATGCGGCAATCAGAAACGGTCAATGGCCGCCGCAGAAGCAGAAGCAGAAGCAGAAGCAGAAGGCCGGCACAACCCTCTCGCTCCTCCCCTTACCCTGATAGAGCGTGTTGTGGTTGCCGAACAGATCTCTAAGGCGCTTCGTTACCTTCATTTCGGTGCTAACCCACCACTTATCCATCGTGATGTAAAGAGTCGAAACGTGTTGTTGGGAGAGGGAGGTGGTACGGAGCTGAAGGCATTCTTAGCTGATTTCGGTCTCGCTAAAGTTATGGAGGACAGGCATCGATCAAGAAGCCACGCTGCAGTCCCGCAAGCAACCCGTCCCGGGACGCGGGGCTACGTTGGTCCCGAGTACGCCAAAGGAGGGAAGCTGACGAGGGAGATCGACGTGTACTCTTTTGGAGTTGTCCTCTTGGAACTGCTTACTGGCAGAAGCGTGTTAATTCGTGGTGAGGGGGACAAGAACGTAACCCTAGTGGAGCAGATGCGCAACCACCTAGCCGAGGTAGATGCCGTCGATCTGAAGGACGTTGTGGATCCTTCCATTAGAGGGGAAATGGGTGATGTTGTAATGAGGGAAATCACAAGAGAGATGTTTGCTGTGGTTGCTGATTGTGTTAATCTCGATGACAAGTTGCGGCCGAGCAGCAAGGAGGTAGCTTCCAAGATGGAGGAGATTTTGAAGACGGCCGAAGTAACTCTCAAGGAACCGCGGTTATACACCGGTCAGCCATCGACTGCTCAGGAGTTCACAATGTTTGGTTGTGTTGCCATGGATTGGGTGAGGAAAGGTAACGGTGCCAAACGGATTACCCCTGGTTGGCCGTTAGGTCATCCGATCGTTCACATTGATGGGGAGTTGGATAATCAGCTTACAGTGGTTGCTTGTAGTGCCGAGTATCACACGCCCCCACTGTGCAGAGGTAACGGTGTGTAACGGCTTTGCCTCGGTTGTCCGTTAGGTCATCCGTTTACACCCACCCATCTGTGTGAAGGTAACGGTCGGTGAGGGATTTCTTGCCTGGGAAACAATCGTGCCATGGCTTTGCCGCTGATTGTAGTAGGGCGATGGCTATAGCACTGGCTGGTGTGACGGGTATAACGTATCGAGTGCCATCTCATTAGATAATTGTACCATATTTCCACGGTCATATCATGACGAATACAGTGGAGAAGGGAAAAAAGTTTCTTTTATGTGTGTGCGTGTGTGTGTGTGTGT